TATCCCAGTGTATTTTAGATCCACTACCTTCCTCATATGAGACAAACGTGCCATTTGTCTCTCCAAGCTTGGTTTACCTCAATGATTTGTTCTAGGTCCATCCATTTCTCTAAAAATGACATATTATTCTTTCTAATGGCTGTGTAAAATTCCATTGTGTATATATATTCCATTGGGTGTGTAAAATTCCATGTGTGTATATACATTTTTGGGATCCACTCACCGATTGTAGGGCATCTGGGCTGTTTCTGCAACTTGGCTATTTGTGAACAGTGCAGCAACAAACATGGATGTGCAAGTGTCTTTATGGTATCCTGGCTTGTGATGTTCTGGGTGAATGTCCAGGAGTGGAATGGCTGGGTCATAGGGAAGATCTATATTTAGTTTTTTGAGGAACCTTCAGGATGCTTTCCAGAGTGATTGTACTAGTCTGAGCTTGGGTCTAGAACATGATTGAGTTGCTTTGTCATAGTAACCTCTCCCTCCCCTCCCACTCCAGGTCTTGCCTTTAATATTGGTGAGATGGGGGTTAAACAGACTAGGAAGTCTCCCACCATGGAGGCCAGATCCTTCCAAGTGTAACGATGGGACTTTTCAAGTCTGGCCGGGGGAGACAGGCCTTCTGTAAAGCTTAGCACTGTTATCCCTGATGTTTCTTCCCCTGGTCATGCAGTCTTTGTAAACGGATTCATTGATAAAGGAGCATACCAAGTGGAACATGCAACGTGGGCCCCTGAAGCTCACTCTCTATGCAGCTTCTCCTCTGCTGTGATCTCTTCCTATAGAGGGACTCACCTTCCTCCCCTCAATTTGAGTAGCCTGGGTCCCTCTGCCCCAGCCTGGTGTCCCAGAAACTGCAGTAAACTGGGGGTGATCTCCCTGCTCTGATCTCACTATCCTGATGTCCAGTGCCTTAAACAAACAGACAACCCTCCCACCCCGGACTGTGATTCTTGTCTAGCTAGCATTTTGTTGTGTTAGGTGGGAAGTCAGAGAAGCCCTGCTTTGGGAGGGGAGTCAGGGCTGACCTCATCAAGGTTCATGGCCTGAGAAACTCCCAAATTTGTAGCTGCTATTTCCTAAGATGAGGATGGCAGGGAAGGGCAGGTTTGGTGGTGGTGAGTGTGGTGGGAAGAAGGCCCTTTATGTGTGAGGAGCCCTTTTGGACACTTGGAGTGATGCTGGAGAGGAGAGTGTGTCTGTCCAGCTGGAGTCAGCGGAGAGCAGTTGGTAGGTTATGAACATTCGGGTGTCATCAGTTCTTACAATCACAGTACTGGGTGAAGCTCCAAGGGAGGGGAAACTCCCTAGTTATTCATATTCATGAATTTCCTTCCCCTTCCAGGGTTAACTGGTACCTAAAGACAGAAAGTGGGGAGTGTGCCTTTCATGTGCAAACTGACCAATCTAGACCCTTTACTCCCAACGACCTCCTGTGTCTTACACTGGGGCATGAAGAGGGGAGTGGGTAGGGGCCTTCTCCCAGCCTCCACTGCTCTAGAGGCCAAGTACCACGCAATTAGAGATAGCGCCTGTGCCTCTGACGCTGTGGGAATGAGCCAGGCCAGCCAATCCTAGCCTCAGCCCTGCTTCAGCCAGTTCTTCCCATGGAACCTATAGTGAGAACTTTTGCCCACATTTCCCTCCCTCTCCCTCTACATCATGTGGTCTCGTGTGGCACTCCAGGCTGTCTGTTTCTAGGGATTCGTGACTAAAAGCTTTATGACCGTCAGTCATTTCTTTCTTTCTTTTTTTTTTTTTTTGGTCGGTCATGGGGCTTGAACTCTAGGCTTAGGCGCTGTCCCTGCGCTCTTCAGCTCAAAGTGAGTGCTCTACTGCTTGAGCCACAGTGCCACTTCCGGTTTTCTAGTGGTTTATTGGAGATAAGAGTCTCACAGACTTTCCTGCCTGGGCTGGCTTTGAACTGTGATTCTCAGATCTCAGCCTCCTGAGTAGCTAGGATTACAGGTGTGAGCCACCGGCACCTAGCTGACCATCAGTCATTTCTGAGCTTATACATCTTGCCACACCCGATTAAAATGATTCCCAGGTTCCTTATAGAAAGTATGGAAATGTTGGCTCTGGCTCTGTAGAATACAAAGATGTCCTCACCCAGGATCATCTCCCCAGTCTCCATATGAGGCAAGTCAGATTATGACCTCCTTTTAGAGTTGGGAAGATTGAGTAGAGAGAGGCTCTATAACTTGCCAGTCGTTACCAGATTTTTTCCCCCCTCAAGTCTAGCCCTCTAGAGCTATAGCTCTGTTTCTGGCTATTTGGTAATTCAGTGGCGATGAGTCTCACAGAATTTTTTGCCCAGGCTGGCTTTCAACAGTGACCTTCAGATCTCAGCTTCCTAAGTAGCATGAAATACTGGTACCCAGCTAGTTTACCAGCTTTTTTTTTTTTTTTTTTTTTTTTAATGGGGAAGGGTATTTGATTGTACTAAGTAACAGGTTTCATTATTACATTTCCATATACTCATATGGTGTACTTTAATTATGTTCAAGAATTCATCAAAGGTCTGTTGCCTTCTCTTTCACTGTCTCCCCTTTCCTTCCTATGGTTAATGTGGGGCATGAATGTCTGTCTGTCTCACATACTCTGGAATCGTAATGGAGATAATTCCCAGTTTTGGGGATGTCACTGATTTAGTGTGATGTTGGTACCTTTCCCCCAAGTTTGAGGGCTAGGAGCCCTGCTCACGGGGACTCAGACACAAGGAGAAGGCTGTCTTGCTTGGGCCTTTACTCCATCCAGCCAAATCAATAACTAATCAGCACAGAATTGATCTTATTAGCTGTTCTCTGGTCCCCTCTCAAACCAGAAACAAAGCTGGCTAACGACGATGCTTTTATTTAATATTAAGGCAGATTAAAACTTATTACAGCAAGGTTATTGGTAATGAGATAATCATAAAGCAAGTGACTGAGCTGGGAGAGAAAAAGGGAGCTGGAACCTGGGCTGGGAGACCATGTCAGAGGTACCCATGGCATTTTGACAGAGATAGGAAGCAGATATGAGGCTTTCAATGTGGACATGTTGCAGCAATACACCCAGCTAACCAGTGATGCTGGGCACTGGCTAGGGGCAAGAGTGGGGTCCAGTGCAAATAGGTTTTCCTAATGTCAAGATAGCTGCAGAGCAGGGAGATGTTGGGGAGTGGGGGGGGTGAGGACCTGAAGGCTATGTTTTTAGGGTTCTTCTACACTGGTATAAGATAGATTTATAATTTAAAGGACAGCCTATGGAAAATGAACTGTTGTTTCTGTCTTTAAGATTGTGGTTCAAGCCAGACACCAATGACTCTCACCTGTAATCCTAGTTACTCAGGAGGCTGAGATCTGGGAATCTCAGCTGGAAGCAAGACCAGGCTTTCTTAACTAACTTCCTTACCTGCTCTCCCCACCTCTCTCCTCCCCCAAAAAGCCCAGAAGTGGCGCCATGGCTCAAGTGGTAGAGCACTAGCCTTGAGCAAAGTAGGTCAGGGACAACACCCAGGCCCTGAGTTCAGCTCCATGACTGGCAACAAAAACAAAAACAAACCCCAAAAAGATTGTGGTTCAGACTTGTTAGCTTGAACTAAGTGTAGGGAATGAATGGGGCTACAAATTAAAAATAAATATTTTTCTTATATTTAATTTTTGTAGGGAGATTGATTTATTTCCCATTCTCTGTCCCCTTGTGTTCATTTATTGAACCCTGCTTCTATGTTAGAGCATGAGCTAAGCTCCATTTAATGTATTATTTCATTTAAGCGTTATAGTGATGAGTAAAATTATGATCCTGCTTTTCCTGATGAGGAAGCTGAAGTTCCCAAGTCCACGTTTTTTTTTTTTTTAATTTTTAATTTTAATTTTTTTATTATTTTATTTTTATTTTTTATTTTTTTTTTTGGGGTCTGATCATGGGGCCTGAACTCTGGGCCTGGGCGCTGTCCCTCAGCTCTTCAGCTCAAGGCTAACGCTCTACCACTTGAGCCACAGCGCCACTTCTGGCTTTTTTCTTTTTGCTTATGTGGTGCTGAGGAATTGAACCCAGGGCCTCATGCATGCAAGGCAAGTGCTCTACCACTGAGCCACCTTCCCAGCCCCCCAAGTCCATGGTTTTTTGATAAGTAAGTAGCAAAACAAGATTTGAATGCTGTTGCTATTCACCATTATGTCATATGAGACCACTTTGTTTTATTTAAGACCAAATGAAGTTTGCATTGGCCTTTTTTTTTTTTTTTGTGGTTGTGGGACTTGAACTCAGGGCCTGGGTGCTATCCCTGAGCTCTTTCACTCAAGGCTAGCACTCTACCACTTGGAGCCACAGCATTACTGCCAGTTTTCTGGTGGTTAATTAGTGATGAGTCTCATAGCCTTTACCTGCCTGAGCTGATTTTGATTCATGATCCTCAGCTCTTGGCCTTCCTGAGTAGCTAGGATTATAGGTGTGAGCCACTGGTGCCTTGCCATTGGCCTTTTTTGGTGGAGGTGAAGTATGGGGCCTTGAACTCAGGCTTGGGCACTGTCCTTTAGTTTTTTTGCTCAAAGCTGGTACTCTACCACTTGAATCACAGTTCCACTTCCAGCTTTTTGGTGATTAATTGGAGATAAACTCTCAGACTTTTTTGTTCAGGCTGGCTTTGAACAATGACCCTCAGATCTCAGCCTCTTGTGTAGGCTGGATTATAGGTGCGAGCCACTGGCACTTGGCTTGCATTAGCTCTTTAAACTAGGTACACTTTATTCAGTTGCTCAGCGTGGTGGCTTTCCAGTGTGTATCCGCTGAGTTCCAATCTGGTAAGGTTGGAGTTGACTGCTTTGGCCAGGACTGGAGGAGGATATTGAAGGACAAGATAAAAGGACGTGTGTGTGTGTGTGTGTGTGTGTGTTGCTTATGCATCTATCCTGAGTACTGAGGATTAAATGAAGATATTAGAGAAGAGGTCAGGGAAGGAAACGCCGAGAGCAGGTTGCGCTCACCCCTCTCTGCCTCTGTCTGTCTCCCTGCAGGTGCACCTCCGCTCTGCCAGGCGACTCTGTGAGCTCTGCTGTGCCAACCGGGGCACATTCATCAAGGTGGGGCAGCACCTGGGCTCCCTGGACCATGTGCTGCCAGAGGAGTACACCAGCACTCTGAAGGTGCTGCACAGCCAGGCCCCGCAGAGCAGCATGCAGGAGATCCGCCAGGTCATCCGCGAGGACCTGGGCAAGGAGGTACCACTCCTGAGATGGGGCTGGGGCGGCGTGCTTCTGGAAGGCTCTGGCAGAGCTCCTGCCACCAGGGCTCAGGGGGCCGGGGATCCCCCACTGATGCATAGCCACATGTCTCAGCAACTTTCAGTGCTAACGTCAGCATCCAGAAGAATCTCAGGGGCCCTCAGGGGGAAAAAATCATTAAAATATGAAATTCTCATCATATGGTTCAACCTATGCCTGAGTTCCTAAGGGCTTACTGTGTACTGACAGCTGAGCTGTGCTGCATGTGTTAACTCACCTTATCCTCTCAGCAAACGTGTGAGGTAGGTACTGTTACGGACCCCATGTTGCAGTTGGAAGATGGAGGGTTAGTATGGTAAGGTCAAGTGTCCAAGGGCACTTACTCATATACGTGATTCCAGTACCCTGCTCTGAGATGCCATCAGTGTTCAATACTTGGACTTTCCTGGAGCGTTGATGGTAGACACTCCTTCAGTCTCTGTAATTTGGCACAACTGTATGGACCTTCATTGGTCTGTTCTGGTCCCTGTACTTCTGGGGACAGGGACAGGAAGTCCCCTGCAGGGGCTGGAGCAGCGCATCAGGTCTAGGCTCAGAAATGCTGTGCGATACCTTGAAGGTCCCTCAGAGATGTCTCCTAAAACCATTACCTATTGTTGTATCTTGACTCTTCCCCTTAGAGAATCCTCTGGGTCTTCTAGACTTTTCTGAGCCAAATAATGATTAAGTTGAGCCTTTGGCAAGCTAATACCTCTGATGCCTTCCATTTGCGCTTGGTTGAGCTACGGAAGTCTGTCCAGTCCCCATCTCCTGCCCATTTCAGGACTTAAGTGAGTAGGGCAGAAGTATATAGCTCTAGAGCCAAGACTTTGAACAAATTTTATCCTCTTGGCATCTCATCTGTAAAATGGGGATACCCATGGCGCCCACTTCAGAGGATTGAGTGCTGTGAGGATGGGAAGGGGTAATCAATGCAATTTGCTTTGGCTAGGCCCCAGGGTTAGGCAAGTGCCTAACAGATAATGGACACTATGGCGGTGGGCAATGTCCCTGTGCTCTGGCCATGAGCCACTGGTCCCTTAGCCCTGGTGCCTGTGCCCATGCTCCCCTACCTACTTAAAATGTCTTCTCTGTCCTCTCTCTGCCAAGTGATTCCAGACCATATGTCCATCTTCCCATCCATTTGGCAAATGGCAGGCAAAACTATGGACTTTAGCTCTGTTGGGAGGCCCTAGACCCTCCCTGAGACTGGCTTTTTAGGCTCTGCAGAACCCAGAGCAATGAAGTATGTATGGTAGGGTCCAGTGTTTGTTTAATGTGTGAATGAGCGGCCTTTGGCTACACAGGGCAGGGCTGAGAATAGGCTCAATGGTTTGATGAAGACCAGCTCCATTTTTTTTTGTTGATCTGTGTAGAGCTGGCTGTGATGATCAGTTCCTTAATGTAGAACTGGTACCAGATGCCTAGCATCCAGCCAAAGACGTCCCACTCCTCAGCGGTGGTCCGGCCTTGAGAGCAGCGGTGGGGGTGGGGAGGGGCTCATTATCTGGTTCTTTGGGGCCCAGATCATGCAAGAAACAGCTGTGACTCCCTTACAGTGAGGGATATTTCCTTCAAAGGGAGAGAAAGGGAATGAAAGGAAAACTTGAATTTTGGGCTAGAGTGAGGGAGCAGGCTGCAGACTGAGGGGAGCAGGGTTAGGACAGGAGTGCACCAGGCAGAGGGGACAGGATGGGCGCAGTGCACTTAAGCGCGCCTTTGGTTTTTGCTGAGACGGCTAGCCTCCAGTTTCCAACAGCATGTGATTTACCCCCAAATTGAAAGGAAGTAAATCACTAACAACACCGAAGCCCAGCATCGCCGACATGTGGCAGTTTAGTAGGGGGTGGGCGTGAGGGCGGGTTGAGGGGAGCAGGAGATGAACCCTTGGAATCCTCTGGGGAGGAAGTGGGGTAAGAGCAGTTCAATGGCTTCCTCAAAGCCAGGGTGGAGTGTGATGGGAAGTTGGGGGCATCAGCAGTCATGCGGGTCCACTCAGCAGGCTGGAGGATGTTTGGGGCTGGATGACATTCCTCCCACTTCCTTAGTCCTGGCCCAGATTGCTGGAGCCCCCTGAGAAAGAGAAGCGGTTACTAGCGGGTTAGCCTTCACTGCTGGGAAGCTTGCAAACTTTGGCTTCTTACCACAGTGCCCCCGGGCACAGAGTCAGAGTCTTCCCTCCTCCCCTGCTTGGGAAGATGTCACTTGTTCCCTGGTGACACACTTGGCGGGCTGTGGGTGGAGGGAGGGGAAAGGAGCTGTGTGGGAAGCAGGGTAGGTGAGTGTGGGGGTGTGAGGGCGGGGGATAAGTCAGTCACTGTGCTTGTCCCTCCCCCCCAGCCCCTCCCATGACACCGCGTGGGGATCAGTGTCACTTGCAGGGTGACGCTGGCGCAGAGGCCTGGGCGCCTCACCAGCCCTAGGCCCTTCCGTGGCAGCTCTGTTTCATCTCTGCTTTCATGCATGTAGTTGAAAGGACTGAATCTGGGAAATACCATCCTCTCGCTCCCTTTGGTGTTACAATAAGAGCTTTCTCTTGTGGGGGGCAAAAAAAGAGAAAGGACTGAGTCTGTCCTGCATTGGCATCTTTCTAGGTCCCAATCCTCGGCTAGGTTCTGAGGCCACTCCAAGGACAAAGACTGCATGGGTGCCCCTAAATCTCAGACTGCAGCCAGGGGAGGTGGCTGGACAGCTGCTTGGGACTGCTGCTGCGAAGCCAGTGGGCCTTGCAGTGTCCTGCCCATCAACAGAGGCCTTGGAGAGTCACTTGTGTCCTCAGGGAGTGAGGCTGGCTTGGACCCAGCATGGGTGTGGAGGATGAGATCTGGACCCTGGATCCCATGGTTATATTCAGTTCAGATCAATCCACACCTTTGGCCATCAAGTGGGCACCATCAGTGTAGAGGAGTGGCCAGTGAAGAGGACCATCCTTACATAGAGATTGACTTAGCAGAGTGCCAGGATCACTTGGCTAAGTGCAGCAGCAACCATCACAGGAGGAGACCTATGATCGGATTCCCCAGCAGGCAGAGTCTTTAACCTGCCTCCGTAGGAACTGAGTTGAGGATGGTCTCACTTGGTGGGGGGGTGGGGGGTGCGAGTGGGGGGAGGTCATAGGTATAAGTGCTGTGCTTATGTTGGCCAGCAGATGGCGCCCAAGCCTGTGAGTCAGGAAGGGTGTTGGAGGTTTGGCCTTCCCTGTAGAGGGGAGTCCTGATCAGGTGGATGAGACTCTGTTTCTTTCTGCTCTTGGACATGGTCCAAGGAGCCAAGGTTGCCATCTCTCCATCTTGAATGGGGCAGGCACAGGCTAAGCTATGAGGCTATTGACTGCTTCTGTGGTTGGAAAAGTATCCTCCATGGATTATTGATGGTTGGGTTTCCAGGGTGATGCTATTGGGTGATGGTGGAAATGCTAGGAGGAAGGACCTAGTGGAAGGTTCTTAGTCACTGAGGACACATCCTTGAAGGGGATTATGGGCCTTGTACCTTTCCTGTCTCTCTTGCTTCCTGGCCATGAGTAGTTTGCTTTGCTGTGTCCTCCCTGCCATTGACATTTGGCACCCCTACCAAAGTTCAAAGCAAAAGGTCTGCCTGATTGTGGACTGGAACTTCCAGAGCATGAGCACAAACATTTACTCTTTCTTCAGAGTAACATGAAGATGACTAATATAGCCACCTTAGTCTCCTTGAGCTCGTGACCCCGTGCTGGAGGGGTAGGCATGGTTTGTTGTAACAAACACGATCATCTGCCTTGCTCAGCTGGGACTCCCTCTGAGATGTCCTGCAGGCTCTGACAACCTGTGATTCAGCGCAACAATGTCTCCTTCATTCTTCTTTTCCTTCCCTCCCTTGCTTGTTCAGGCAATTAGGATTTGGTGAAAAGGCACAGTGCTGTGTGGATGGATGTGACCAGACCCTGGTTCACAGGGAGGTGTGCGGGTCAAGACAATGCGTGGTTGGTTGTATTAGTGGCCATCTGAAGTGTTTGCAGGAGAAAGAGGCTCCATCCCAGTGGATGGAGGCTTTCTGATGCCAGTGGTACCAGACTCAGGCCCTCAAAGATGGTTGGGATTGGAGGAGCTACAAAGACTCTATAAAGGTGCAGAGATGGGAGAGCATAAAGCTTCAAGGTGACCGTGGAGTCTTGTTGACTAGAGTGTGGTATTCAGGAGGCTCCACTGTTGGGACCGAGGCCACATTTTAGAGGGCCTGGAACTTTCTTTTTAGATTATGAGTCTGAAGGATAGGAGAAGTTGGAAAGGGACCTGAGGAAAGGTGAGTTGAAGGGACTGGGATGTGAGAGGTGGGCAGAGCAGGCAGTGAAAGAACTGGCTAACAGCCTGAGCATCTCAGGTCATCTTGTACAAGTAGGGAAGACAGAGATGAGCAGAGAGTTTGGGGAAAGCAGGCTTAAGAAGTGATCAGCAGAATAGTAGAACTACAGAAGTAGTTTTCTTCATTAATAGACATCCCCCTCCTCCATCCACCCCCATGCGCACACACTAACACTCATGCATACCTCCTTCTCCCAAAACACAAGTGAATCAGATTTTATTACAACATATTTCAAGAGGTTATAGAGGCTGGTTTGTTGTCCTCAAATACAGTTGTATTGGATAAGATTATTACTACCTACAAAGTTTTATTAAAAAAACAGAAGGAAATGAGGTCAGTTGCTAGAGTAGAGTGCAGAAATGCTTTTGTTAGGGGCAGCTCTTATGTTGGTATCTTAGGGAGTGTGGTTTTATGTTTTTATCAGTCTTTTCTTAACTCCCCTCCCAGGGGGATGAGGGTACACGTGTGTGTGTGTGTGTGTGTGTGTGTGTGTGTGTGTGTTGATTTATGTAGTGCTGGGAATTAAACTCAAGGCTTTGTGCTGGCTACGCAAGTGCTCTGTTTCTTGAATTATGCCTTAATCCTTAAGGTCTTTTTTTTTTTTTTTTCTCTTCTGGGAT